GTCTTTCTGAGTAAACTCAAAATGATCAGTACAAGCAAGGGAGAAAAGGGGCATGTATTAGCCTCACTTAGAAAAATCATCTCTATCTCTTGCACAGAACCATCTCAAAAGTATTGACTTTTGAGTTAATCTATTGGAGTTGTGATATATGGTAGTGATATGATACTCCTGCAAACTGTTGGAATGTTTTTTGCAACATGGTGCATTGAGTGTAAATTTATGGAGCAATTTGCCATTTGTTTTTGTGTAAAATTATATACTTCCAGAGCTTATTTTTTGTTATATGGAGTACTTTAGTTTGTTGTATCTTTTCTGTGGTACTCACACACTTAAGAGCAATTTATTTTGCTTATATGTTAGATCAGTTTTTTTTTTGTTTCAAGTACAACAATTTGAGTAAAAAACTGGAGTACTTACAGAGCTTATTTTTTGTTATATGGAGTACTTTAGTTTGTTGTATCTTTTCTGTGGTACTCACACACTTAAGAGCAATTTATTTTGCTTATATGTTAGATCAGTTTTTTTTTGTTTCAAGTACAACAATTTGAGTAAAAAACTGGAGTACTTACAGAGCTTATTTTTTGTTATATGGAGTACTTTAGTTTGTTGTTTCTTTTCTGTGGTACTCAGACACTTGAGAGCAATTTATTTTGCTTATATGTTAGATCAGTTTGTTTTTTTTGTTTCAATTTATTATCGTAATGTCATTTGCAGATTTGAGATGCATAATTATGAGGCAAAAAAGTGGAATAGTTTAATGATTATCATCATATGTCATTTACAGATTGAAATGAAGAATTATGAGGAAGAAAATAATGAAGAAGGTGAAGTTGCAATTGATGGTGCTGCTGTTATGCCAAAGAAGAAAAGTGACGGTCCAATAATGCGTGGAAGAGGTGTTACCAAGAAAGACGACCGTACAGTCGTATGTCATGACTTCTAATGATATGGAGACAATTATGAGCACATTGAGAAAGAAGATTGAAGAGAAAACTGAGAAAAAGGACGCTGAGCTAGAACAAATGCAGAAAGAGCAAGAGATTCAGAAACAGAAAATGGATTTGATTCTACCAAAGCTTTCTGCCATGATTCCAAGTTTTGATGTCACCTCGCCTGGAGTATAGACTATAGAGTCCAAAATATTTAATTAATTTGTTAAAAGAATAATTGTGTGACTTTAGATTCGTTACTAGGTCATGACAGATTGTTTGGAATGTTGATTATATTGTTATCCATTTGAGTTTCTCTTTGACAACATAAAATATGTTATGGATATTGCTTGATCAAATAATGTAATATTGCAATGCTTTTAACATTTTCATTGATATGTGTTGATCAAGTGGTTGTATATAGGTACGTAGCAATATGTTTGACAATAAAAACAAACTATGTAAGTAGTTTGTATAATTACATATTAATTGCTTAATTACAGAATAACTATATATATATATATTACATATTCTTAGAAAAGTGTTACCTATAACTCAATAAAAGTGTTGCCATTTCGAGAAATTTGTTACATAAAAAAGTGATAAAAATGTTACATTATGTAAATTTATGTTGCAAAAGGATATATTAAATATGTTACCTAAGTATCATAAATGTGTTGCAAAAAGTCATATTATAAGTGTTGCATTTTATGCAAAAACGTGTTGCGTAAGATGGTGTTTAATCCCTCGTCTAAAAGTGTTACATTAGTGTAGTTTATGTAACATCTTTATTAAATATTGCATAATATAGTGAAAAGTGTTGCATATGACTTTATGCAACGGGATCTGAAGTAACGCTCCTAAAAGTGTTGCTTAAGCTTTTTGTAACATTTTAACTATGTAATGCAACATTTTATAGGTGTTACAAAAGGCCTATTTTGTTGTAGTGACAACTTTACAATTACTCACTAATTACACCAGTTCCGTCCCTTTATAATTTAGATATATTATAGAAACAATCACATGTTTATGTCTAAAACAAAGGTTGCTTACACAAATGTGATCTCTTAAAGTTGTTTACAGAAGTGAAAATATATTGTAGGTATATTGTAGAAACAATCATGTAGTAACTTAGTTATAGTAAGTGATGTTCAGTTTTTGCACTTAAATGACGACTATGAATCATATTTAACCTTTAGTGATGAAAGTAATACGTACATTTTTACTAATTAGTTCCACTCTTTTTATGAGGATGACCTTCTCATGCTATTGTGTAAAACTCAAATAACGAGTTTCACATTTGTTTATGCTCTCGAAAACTAACTGAACCATTTTAGATGTTTTATGAAAAATGTTTAATACTCGGTATTAGAAGCCGCCGCCAAGCCGGCGGTGTTTTAAAAACAAAATAATTTTTTTTATCGTTAAACCAACAAATATATTAAATCAACAAAACGTTCGTGACTTGGCTGACAATACAATCAGAGAAAATGCATGAAACAGAACGATAAAAAGTCTTATGTCTGTCGTCTGGCCTTGAATCAGACTTAGAATCTATCACCTCTATAGAAATAATAAAATTCGATGATCCTGTAATGGGCACTGAGTCAATGACAGACAAACCAAAGTTCTCATCACCTGACCTAAATTCTAGAATCTTTCTGCTAGGAAATAAGAACACACCCAATACAACATGCAACTCGAAAGAAAAACACGAATAAAATAAAACGGAATTAAAACAGAATTCATTCATTTTCTTCCAAACCCTAGACTCTCTTGCACTCCAAGGCAGCGGCTCGGGAGGTGGACGAGCCCACCGTTCATCTGCCTCAATAGTCATGCTTTTGTATAGATTGACGATATCCTCCATTGATATCCCTTGCTGCTGAATCGAACCCAAGCTCCACCACAACTTATCCGCCTTTTCTTTGTCTACCCTCACCCCTCGTCCAGAAACAGCAGCAGAAGACGAGCCACGGCCGCCAAAGCGCTGCATCCCTGGTCACGAGCATGCTTGCTTGATCAAAATCCACCGACGGCAGCTCTTCGTCACTGACGAAAGCGGAAGAACAAAACTCTAGAGAGGGAAAGACCACCTTATATTAATTAAAATAATGAATCAAGTTTACTAAAACAACAAAAACAAACAAACAAAATGATTTTAAAAAGTGAAAATTGAAATGTTGGTAAATACATTTTTTATTAAATAAAGAAAGTGAAAAGTGGTTTAAAGTACGTGCTTATCCTTACTTACATTTAATAAAATAACTTTGATTTTAGTTATGTACTTAATTTAGATAAAAGTACTTATTTAATAAAACTACTTTTAACTTTTTAAAACAAAAAATAAACATAAAAACACATGGAAATACTTTTGATTTTTCTAAGCATTGATTAGGCTGAGAGGATTTTACCTCTTTTATTGATAATTAGCATTAAGAATTTTATCAATCCATGACCTCAAAAATAGATTCACTATGATAAGGGACTTTATCATATACTCCCTCCGTCCCAATTTGTATGATACTTTACAGTTTAAGATGTTTGATCGAAGATAAAGCAAATTGATCTCTGTCAACACTCAAATTAGTTTTAGAAAATAAAATTTACATATTCAGAAACTACATTAAAATCGCTACAAAACCTGCAAAAAATAATTCAAATTTAATAAACTTTCGATATATAAAGTAAAAGATTAAGAGTGATTTATATTGATCAAGTGAATAGTAAATGTATCTTACAATTTGGGACCGAAAGAGTAACGACCAACTCAAACACACGCTACTCATTAACTTTCGGTAATTAAACTTGTCATATAATATGCCCGTAACTAGTTTGTAGCGCACCGAGAGACTTCTTTGATTGCGTGAGAATTTGTTACTGGGAGATGTTCATCTTGTCTGATTTTGTTTGTTCTTTGGCGGTTCTTTCCCGGACGCTCCGGGTTGTTTTGTCCCTCTCTCGATGTGGGGAGTTGTTTTGGTCTCTCAATCAACTTCGTCTGGTCAAGGATTTATGGCTGTTGTCTTTTGGGCTGCGTAGATAATGGCAGAACTCATCCTCCTTTAGAATCACCTCTTTTGCGGGAAGGGTTTTGTAGAAAGATTTTATTTCAATTTTATTTTGTTTTAGTAGCACTTATATTTACTTTATTTTGAGTAGGTTTGATTTGGTTTTTTGGATTTCTGGAGTACTTTTGATAGGCGGTGTTTCAATTCCGAATGTTTTAGGCTTAAATTTGCCCGTTTTGTGTCTAGCGAATCAGATTGCTTTATATGAGGTGGCTGATTCTATGTCTATTTCTAGGGCTTACAATCGGCTCTGACGTAACTGTCTGGTGGCCGCTCTGTTACCTCAAAAAAAAAACTATTCGCTCGAACACGCATTCCACATAAACTTTTGGTAATTAACCATATCATATACGGAGTAATTGATTGATTTGGAAACTGGTGAGTGAGCAACGCGCCACTTCTAGGGAAGGGTTTCAAAATGTTGAAAAAATAAAAGTATTTCAAATTATACGAAGTATAATTTTACTTCGTATCTTTTACTATGATTATCTTGATGCCAACTTTTAAACCGTTACCTTCTAAATGGTTTGTGAGATGGTAGTGTTTATTATTAAAATTATTTGCTTTAGTCCTTGATCATTGAGCCTCCATGATGTGCTGATCATTTGAAACGTTAGCATTATTAAAATCATTGTTTAATAAGAAATTTTAATGAATGAGTGCGTTGTTGTGAAATATGTGCTCGATCTTTAGTTATTTATTAATAGAGAAAACTGTCAAATAGATTCACGTACTTTTATCAAAAAGTCAATTGAATTCATGTACTATTTTTCGAGTCAATAAGTCCACAAATTATCAAAAAATGACCAAATTGACTAGTTAATAGGTAGTCATCCTGTGATCCAGTAAACCATCTACGAACCCGCACGGGTAGCTCAGTTAGTCGAGTAGTGGAAAAATTGGACCAAGTGACTAAGGTTCGAAACCCGCAACGGCCGTATGGAGGTTACAGAACCTGAAATAAGGTTGGACCTCTGGTGCGCACGTGTATAAGGTCTACCGCCGCTTTGCTGACTTAGTCACTGTGATTAACATCTCCACCATCCTGTCGTGTCGGGGTGGAGGCTAGGGGTTGGGCATTCGACCTTTTGGACCAAGTAAACCATCTACGTGGACGTTCAACTGGGACTTTTTAGTCTTTTCTACTTTTTTTTATTTTTAATTTCCTTTCCTTTTTATTTTTCCATTTCTTTTGCATCTCCAACTCCATCTTCTGCAAGTACCTATCTATGGAGGAGGAGGTTGTGGTGGCTATGGAGGCGGGCGCGGTTGGACGTTGTTCCAATGAAAGAGGCGGAGGTGGAAGCTGGAGGCGGCGGGTATGGTGCGTGGTAAGGGTGGCAGAGGTGGTGGCTATGGAAGCCGGCGCAGCTGGAGGTCGATTTAATGGGGGAGGCGGTGTGTATGGTGGAAGGGATTGTTGAGGTGAGGTGGGGTCGGATTTCAGAGGCATTGGCTACGGAGGCTGCCACCTCGGCAGAGATAGTGACTAGAGACGTTGGGGCCTGGGAGGCGGAATTCGTACCAGTGGGAGTATGGCGGAGGCAACAAAAATGGAAAAAGTGGCCGGGCTTCTGGTTAAGACAAGAATGAAAGAAAGAAACGCACAAAGGGGAGAAGCGGACTGGCCTGGAAAGGAGAAGAGCGGACCAGAGGAAGAAAGAAAATGAAAGAGAAAAAAGTTAGAAAATGAAGAGAGCGAAAAATGAAAAAGGAGAAGGAAAGAAAATTCAAAAAATGAAAAACGGTATAAAAAAGCCACCTCAGACATTCACGCAGGCGGTATAAAAAATAGTCGATTTGGTCATTTCATGATACTCCCTCTGTTCCCAAAAATACTTCCCACTTTCCTTTTTGGACTGTTCCCAAAAATACTTCTCACTTTCCCATTTTGGACAATTTGTGTGGCTCACATTCATTTTACCTTTTTCTTACACAATCACAACCATACATTTCCACTTTATTCCACTTTCTTCATAACGTGCCAAGTCAAATCGGGAAGAATTTTTAGGAACGGAGGGAGTAGTTCGTGAACTTCATTAACTCGAAAAAAAAATACATAAATTTAATTAACTTTTTGTTAAAAGTACATGGACCCATTTGACAATTCTCCCTTATTAATATGAACGTTAGAGGCCAGAGGGGTGGAAGCATGTTGGAAGTTTGAAGAGTAAAAAATAAATGCCATTAGTCTTCATTAAGACGAAACAAATCTGCCATTCAAGATGATTCAGGTGAGAACGCGACTTGGTTGGACATTGATGATGATAAAGGGGAACATACTAAACAGTTGGGAAAGAAATAACTTTTCGTGTTATTTTTCTGTGTCTTGGTAGAAAGCCATGGTCAACTATATACACCTTAATATATATCAAAAAGGTAAGGATCTCATGAATTAATCATGGTCCACTAACGCACACACTAATCTAGGAAAGAAAATAAATACAATAATTACAAAATTAAATAAGGTAAAAATATTATGCATGTGTCCGTTATGCATGGCTTCTTTCCTTTTGGGGATGCGGACAGCACACGCGGACTGCACACACCCCCTCAAGTTGGAGCGGAGGGATTAAGAACGCCCAACTTGTGAAGCAGAAACAAGAATTGTTGAGCACCTAGAGGTTTAGTGAAGATGTCGGCTAACTGATGAGTGGAAGAAAGATGATGTGCCCGGAGTGAACCGTTTTGAAGGAGATCACGGATAAAATGGCAGTCAATTTCAATATGTTTCGTGCGTTCATGAAATACCGGATTTGAGGCAATATGAAGAGCAGCTTTGTTGTCACAGAAAATGTCCATTGACTGAGAGAGAGTAATGCCAAGAGAAGACAGTAAGCTACGAAGCCATAATAATTCACAGCCCAAGGCGGCCATGGAACGGTACTCAGCCTCGGCGGAGGAACGAGAGACGGTTAGTTGCTTCTTTGTTTTCCAGGAGATAGGAGAATCACCAAGCATCACAATATAACCGGTTAATGACCGACGAGTCAAGGGGCATGCGGCCCAATCAGAGTCACAAAATCCACGCAAAGAGATGCTAGAGCGAGCGCTAAGAAGAATACCCTGTCCCGGATTACCTTTCAAGTACCGAAATACCCGGATAGCCGCATCCCAGTGATCAATTCTCGGTGTTTGCATAAACTGGGCTAGAATGTGAACTGAGTAACTAAGCTCCGGACGAGTAAGTGTCAAGTAGATAAGTTTCCCGATTAAACGGCGATATTGCTCTGGCGAAGGTAAAAGTGCACTTTGAGAGAGTTAGAGCTTCTGATTTTGTTCCATAGGAAAAGGAGAGGGTCGTGAATCCGCCAATCCAAGTTCATCGAGAATATCCAGGGCATATTTGCGCTGACAAAGAAAGATACCTGAAGCATTTCGAGCCACTTCTATCCCCAAAAAATATTTAAGACGCCCAAGTTCCTTGATCGGAAAGCATTTAGCTAAATAAGCCTTTAGATTATCAACATCTAGTGCATGAGAACCAGCAATAAGAAGGTCATCAACATAAACGAGCACACACAAAAAATGACCATTTTTAGATAACGTGAATAAAGAATAATCTGCATATGAACGCTGAAATCCATAGGTAATCAAGGAAGTGCTAAGTTTATGAAACCAACATCGGGGAGCTTGACGAAGTCCATAGAGAGAACGATGGAGGCGGCAAACTTGGTTAGGACGAGAGTTCAAAAATCCAGGAGGCAAATACATATAAACCTCCTCATCAAGAGAACCATGAAGAAAAGCATTGTCAACATCCATTTGATGGAGTTGCCAATGTTTAGATGCGGCAACGGCGAGAAGAGTACGAACAGTGTTCATTTTGGCAACGGAAGATGGTTCCTTTTCATGAGAGATAGCTGCAAGGAAAGCCCGGTGGTGCAAAGAAAATTTGTCATAATTTACATAACAAGTAAGCGGATAGGGACTACCTGAAGATGACGAAGGAAGGGAGACGCCGGGGGGGTGAGCCTGGGCTGCATGAAGTTGTACATAGTCACGTAGGCGGACAGAAGGAACCTTAGGTCGATGCCCACGACCAAGAGGAGCTGGTGACGTGGGACCTTCTGGCAAGTGGATTTCGGATGTCATATGTGGCGGTGAATTTGCGCTAGGTGTGTCCGACTTTTCTGGAGGAGAGGATGGCTGAACATTTGAGGAAGCATGTGGGACCTCCTCTTGATGGTGAGCAGGGACAGATGGAACACAGGAGTTATGCATGGCAGCATCATTAAGGAGTTCATCCTCCCTATATATTAGCCGTAAATCAGAAAGAGATAGGGAAGGATGCACATCACGGGCTGAAGTTGACTTGGCCAGAAAAGGAAAAATATCCTCCACAAAGTGAACATCTCGGGAAATAAAATGAGCCTCGGTTACCAGGTCCATTACTTTCCACCCACGTTGCGTGTAAGAATAACCCAAAAATAGGCACGCACGACCACGATGATGAAATTTATCTCTGGATCGGGAAGCAACGTAGCACAGACAACCAAACGTACGAATGTGATCATATGAAGGTTGAGTGCCATACAACATTTCATAGGGCGATTTTGCATGATTCAAAATAGACGGAGTGCGATTAATTAAATAGGATGCCGCCAGAACACATTCACCCCAAAATTTGATTGGTAAATTGGCTTGAAAACGAAGGGCTCGGGCAACATTGAGAATATGCCGATGCTTTCGTTCAACCCGACCATTTTGTTGGGGTGTAGCAACACACGAGGATTGAAATAAAATGCCCGCAGATATTCACGCCTGGGATGTCATTAGTCGGTAAATAAAACGGGGATGCCGGATCATTTAATCTGCGCCTATACTGCTTAGGAACAGAATTGTTGCCGTCGTCCTTAGTTCCGTCGTCGGTTTTGTTGGTGATAGGCTCACCCATTTGGTTTGCCGCACACAAAAAAAAAGAAAAAGAAAAACGCAGGTCTCAGAGAACGTGTGGCTCTGATACCATGATAAAGGGGAACATACTAAACAGTTGGGAAAGAAATAACTTTTCGTGTTATTTTTCTGTGTCTTGGTAGAAAGTCATGGTCAACTATATACACCTTAATATATATCAAAAAGGTAAGGATCTCATGAATTAATCATGGTCCACTAACGCACACACTAATCTAGGAAAGAAAATAAATACAATAATTACAAAATTAAATAAGGTAAAAATATTATGCATGTGTCCGTTATGCATGACTTCTTTCCTTTTGGGGATGCGGACTGCACACGCGGACTGCACAGATGACTCATTGCTATTTCTATTACAAATACAATCTTTAATCAATTTTAACAGTCACTTTCGTTCAATACGTACTCTGTTTATTTTTTGTTTATCCTAATTGCAGGCGAGGATTCTAGACTGATCATGGATGATTTAGATGTGCCTATATGGTGATTAGTGAGACATTGTTCCTAAGGTAGTAATTGACTCAAAGTCTAGTCTAAAGGCTTCTTATCGGGTTATGAGATTTATAGTCTTGTTGTATTTTGTCTGATTTCTATTACATTAATAAAAATAGAAATTGCCTTAAATATGAGTAAAAACAGTTTGAAATTCCAAAATATAAGATTTTAATGTTTTTATTCCCTAAATAGGAATAATTCTGACATGTTTGGGGAAAAATTCCATGTTTAAAGTCTAGTAATGCCAAATTTGGCAGAAATTTACTCATATTCACAGAATAAAAAACATGATAGTCCTATTTTGGAATTTCAAAACTTTTTCTTTTATTTAGGGAATTCTCTCTAATATAAAGCATTTATAATTTTAAAAAAACTTATCATATGACAACCTTAAAATCAAACACGCACACACTCCTGTTTGACTTTGGTATTAACCTTATCATATGGCAAGTTAACAACCTTTAACTCAAACACACACTCCTCATGAACTTTTCCTAATTAACCTTATCATATAATATTTCAGTATATATAAAAAACTTATCATATAATACATATATGCGTGCATGCACACACACATGTATTATTAACGAGGAGTACGTGATTGATTAAAAGTTGCTCTATGATAAGGTTAATTACCAAAGGTCAAACATGAATGTGTGTTTGAGTTAAAGGTTGTTATATGCTAAATTTTATATATTGTAAATAGTTTATAAATGTAACAAAACTAGACAAAATACAATAATACTAGAAATCAAAGTTCGATCATAAGCTCTTGGACCAGACTTTATGCCAATCATTCATACATGAGCATTATGTCTTGTTAATCCCCATACGACACATGAATGTAAGTCATCCATGATTAGTCTAGAATCATCGCCATCATTTAGGATAAACAAAAAATTTAACCAGAGTATTGAACCAAACGTAATAACTAGTAAAAATAATTAAAGAGTGCATTTAAAAAAAATAGCAACGAGTCATCAATGTCCAACATGTCGCCCTCTCACTTGAATCATCTTGACCAACGGTTTTTCGACTGTATAAACACCAATGACATTTATTTTTGACTCTTCAAACTTTCAGTCTACTTACATCCCTCTACCTTGTGGTGGTGGTTCGGCAGCGAGTCGGACTAACGGTGGCATCATAGACAGATTGAGAATCATGATGACCTTTGAGGAGAAAAGATATAAGATTAGAGGAATACTGCTAATCATTGATGAATAATAGCATAATGACCCCAAGAAATCTTCATCATTGGTAGGCCTGTCAATGGGTCGGATCTAGACCCGGACCCGACCCGGACCCGGTTGTTTTTAATGGGTACGGGTCTATATTTTATTCCGTTTACCCGGACCCAGATCCGGACCCGTTAATATTT